TTGTTTTAAATTTTCAGTCCTTAGCTATAAAAGTTGAACATTTTATAAGTTTTTTACCATGCAGGAAAATAGAAGCAGTACAGACAATAGGTATCAGAGTTCAGCTCAGAATCTAATGTTTCATTATACCGAGAATAAGTCAACGCACAGTCACGCGCTAAATATTACAATATCGTTTTCGTTCATTGGTACAACCGTGGCCCTTGAACAATAAGTTGTGGTGGATGGTCATTTTTGTAATTTGAATAGGCCATGTCTAATGTTGATAACTGTCGGGAATCGAATAATTCAACAGTGTAACAACATCCACGAGACCACGAAGTATAAAACATACATTTTAATACACGACACTACCAGCCGACTGTCGTCTGTTTATTTATAGACACTTTTTCCCCGCTTTCTGGGGAAGTTTGATGAATGCGTACGCCATTTACAATGTGAACATTGACGTTGTTATAAATACATTTTTATTACCGATGATCGATGAACAAACAATGATTATCCAGGATTTTCGTAGTACATATGGCTTCAATTACGTGAAATACCGATTGTACCTAATTAAAAATCTCGATGGACCCATGTTGACATTACAGACGGGTTAGGTATAGCTATCACGGTCGCTCGAATATAATATTAACATTAATTTTTTCGTTATCACGGATCGACCGACAACAACACAATAATAATGCAATTTGCCGTGCCCATACAATGGGTTATTTTTAGAATGTCTTTACCGAATTTCTCGTTAACTTCGGTAATACCCGCCATTAACTATTAATATCCATCGTATTTATAATAATATTACATATTTCATTATTTTATATTTTTTGTAATTTTGATAGGGCATGTCTAATGTTCATAACTGTCGGGAATCGAATAATTCAACAGTGTCACAACATCCGCGAGACCACGAAGTATAAAACATACATTATAATACACGACACTACCAGCCGACTGTCGTCAGTTTATTTATAGACACTTTTTCCCCGCTTTCTGGGGAAGTTTGATGAATGGGTACGACATTTACCATGTGAACATTGACGTTGTTATAAATACATTTTTATTACCGATGATCGATGAACAAACAATGATTATCCAGGATTTTCGTAATACATATGGCTTCAATAACGTGAATTACCGATTGTACCTAATTAAAAATCTCGATGGATCCATGTTGACATTACAGACGGGTTAGGTATAGCTATCACGGTCGCTCGAATATAATATTAACATTAATTTTTTCGTTATCACGGATCGACCGACAACAACACAATAATAATGCAATTTGCCGTGCCCATACAATGGGTTATTTTTAGAATGTCTTTACCGAATTTCTCGTTAACGGCGGTAATACCCGCCATTAACTATTAATATCCATCGTATTTATAATAATATTACATATTTCATTATTTTATATTTTTTGTAATTCGGATAGGCCATGTCTAATGTTGATAACTGTCGGGAATCGAATAATTCAACAGTGTAACAACATCCACGAGACCACGAAGTATAAAACATACATTATAATACACGACACTACCAGCCGACTGTCGTCTGTTTATTTATAGATACTTTTTCCCCGCTTTCTGGGTAAGTTTGATGAATGGGTACGACATTTACCATGTGAACATTGACGTTGTTATAAATACATTTTTATTACCGATTATCGATGAACAAACAATGATTATCCAGGATTATCGTAGTACATATGGCTTCAATAACGTGAAATATCGATTGTACCTAATTAAAAATCTCGATGGACCCATGTTGACATTACAGACGGGTTAGGTATAGCTATCACGGTCGCTCGAATATAATATTAACATTAATTTTTTCGTTATCACGGATCGACCGACAACAACACAATAATAATGCAATTTGCCGTGCCCATACAATGGGTTATTTTTAGAATGTCTTTACCGAATTTCTCGTTAACGGCGGTAATACCCGCCATTAACTATTAATATCCATCGTATTTATAATAATATTACATATTTCATTATTTTATATTTTTTGTAATTCGGATAGGCCATGTCTAATGTTGATAACTGTCGGGAATCGAATAATTCAACAGTGTAACAACATCCACGAGACCACGAAGTATAAAACATACATTATAATACACGACACTACCAGCCGACTGTCGTCTGTTTATTTATAGATACTTTTTCCCCGCTTTCTGGGTAAGTTTGATGAATGGGTACGACATTTACCATGTGAACATTGACGTTGTTATAAATACATTTTTATTACCGATTATCGATGAACAAACAATGATTATCCAGGATTTTCGTAGTACATATGGCTTCAATTACGTGAAATACCGATTGTACCTAATTAAAAATCTCGATGGACCCATGTTGACATTACAGACGTGTTAGGTATAGCTATCACGGTCGCTCGAATATAATATTAACCTTAATTTTTTCGTTATCACGGATCGACCGACAACAACACAATAATAATGCAATTTGCCGTGCCCATACAATGGGTTATTTTTAGAATGTCTTTACCGAATTTCTCGTTAACTTCGGTAATACCCGCCATTAACTATTAATATCCATCGTATTTATAATAATATAACATATTTCATTATTTTATATTTTTTGTAATTCGGATAGGCCATGTCTAATGTTGATAACTGTCGGGAATCGAATAACTCAACAGTGTAACAACATCCACGAGACCACGAAGTATAAAACATACATTATAATACACGACACTACCAGCCGACTGTCGTCTGTTTATTTATAGATACTTTTTCCCCGCTTTCTGGGTAAGTTTGATGAATGGGTACGACATTTACCATGTGAACATTGACGTTGTTATAAATACATTTTTATTACCGATTATCGATGAACAAACAATGATTATCCAGGATTTTCGTAGTACATATGGCTTCAATTACGTGAAATACCGATTGTACCTAATTAAAAATCTCGATGGACCCATGTTGACATTACAGACGTGTTAGGTATAGCTATCACGGTCGCTCGAATATAATATTAACCTTAATTTTTTCGTTATCACGGATCGACCGACAACAACACAATAATAATGCAATTTGCCGTGCCCATACAATGGGTTATTTTTAGAATGTCTTTACCGAATTTCTCGTTAACTTCGGTAATACCCGCCATTAACTATTAATATCCATCGTATTTATAATAATATAACATATTTCATTATTTTATATTTTTTGTAATTCGGATAGGCCATGTCTAATGTTGATAACTGTCGGGAATCGAATAACTCAACAGTGTAACAACATCCACGAGACCACGAAGTATAAAACATACATTATAATACACGACACTACCAGCCAACTGTCGTCTGTTTATTTATAGATACTTTTTCCCTGCTTTCTGGGGAAGTTTGATGAATGGGTACGACATTTACCATGTGAACATTGACGTTGTTATAAATACATTTTTATTACCGATTATCGATGAACAAACAATGATTATCCAGGATTTTCGTAGTACATATGGCTTCAATTACGTGAAATACCGATTGTACCTAATTAAAAATCTCGATGGACCCATGTTGACATTACAGACGGGTTAGGTATAGCTGTCACGGTCGCTCGAATATAATATTAACATTAATTTTTTCGTTATCACAGATCGACCGACAACAACACAATAATAATGCAATTTGCCGTGCCCATACAATGGGTTATTTTTAGAATGTCTTTACCGAATTTCTCGTTAACTTCGGTATTACCCGCCATTAACTATTAATATCCATCGTATTTATAATAATATTACATCTTTCTTTATTTTATATTTTTTGTAATTTTGATAGGGCATGTCTAATGTTGATAACTGTCGGGAATCGAATAATTCAACAGTGCAACAACATCCACGAGACCACGAAGTATAAAACATACATTATAATACACGACACTACCAGCCGACTGTCGTCTGTTTATTTATAGATACTTTTTCCCCGCTTTCAGGGGAAGTTTGATGAATGGGTACGACATTTACCATGTGAACATTGACGTTGTTATAAATACATTTTTATTACCGATTATCGATGAACAAACAATGATTATCCAGGATTTTCGTAGTACATATGGCTTCAATTACGTGAAATACCGATTGTACCTAATTAAAAATCTCGATGGACCCATGTTGACATTACAGACGGGTTAGGTATAGCTATCACGGTCGCTCGAATATAATATTAACATTAATTTTTTCGTTATCACGGATCGACCGACAACAACACAATAATAATGCAATTTGCCGTGCCCATACAATGGGTTATTTTTAGAATGTCTTTACCGAATTTCTCGTTAACTTCGGTAATACCCGCCATTAACTATTAATATCCATCGTATTTATAATAATATTACATCTTTCTTTATTTTATATTTTTTGTAATTTTGATAGGGCATGTCTAATGTTGATAACTGTCGGGAATCGAATAATTCAACAGTGCAACAACATCCACGAGACCACGAAGTATAAAACATACATTATAATACACGACACTACCAGCCGACTGTCGTCTGTTTATTTATAGATACTTTTTCCCCGCTTTCTGGGGAAGTTTGATGAATGGGTACGACATTTACCATTCGAACATTGACGTTGTTATAAATACATTTTTATTACCGATTATCGATGAACAAACAATGATTATCCAGGATTTTCGTAGTACATATGGCTTCAATTACGTGAAATACCGATTGTACCTAATTAAAAATCTCGATGGACCCATGTTGACATTACAGACGGGTTAGGTATAGCTATCACGGTCGCTCGAATATAATATTAACCTTAATTTTTTCGTTATCACGGATCGACCGACAACACAATAATAATGCAATTTGCCGTGCCCATACAATGGGTTATTTTTAGAATGTCTTTACCGAATTTCTCGTTAACTTCGGTAATACCCGCCATTAACTATTAATATCCATCGTATTTATAATAATATAACATATTTCATTATTTTATATTTTTTGTAATTCGGATAGGCCATGTCTAATGTTGATAACTGTCGGGAATCGAATAACTCAACAGTGTAACAACATCCACGAGACCTCAACATCTCTGTTTGCGGATGACACTATGTTTCACACTAGCAACAAAAACGCTACCTACGCTATACTAAGACTACAACGGCAAATAAACATAACAACGAGATGGCTCACTCAGTGGAGATTACGACTAAATGTTTCCAAAACAGTTGCAATTCTCTTTGGAACGAAAGCAACAACTAAATTAAAGAAAATTACGATCCACAACACGGAAATCAACTGGTCAAGAGATGCAAAATATTTAGGAGTAACATTAAACAAGTCCCTAAGTCTCCACAATCATGTTGAGGACATAATTAACAAGGCCAAACGATCAAGAGCGGCACTCTATCCGCTGCTAAATAGCAAAAGCCATATCCCAATTAATGCAAGACTATCTCTATTTAAAATATATATAAGGCCCATCCTCCTCTACGCCGCACCTGCATGGGGGCCTAAAATTAGTAGGTCAAACTGGAAGAAGATCGAAGCGGTGCAAAACGTAGGACTAAGATCAATAACAGCCATTCCACCATACCAGTCAAACAAATCCATACTCGCAATAACTAAAATCCCGTCAATAGAGGAAGATGCCAGGAAAGCCACTACGATAATGTTTAATAAAAACACAAGATCCCTCTACCCACACATTCAAAAATTAGGAGTACCAGACCCAGAAGACCCTATATGTAAATCAAGACCTTTCTACTTCAAAAAATAACACCTAAATAAACAAGCCAAAACTCCGAGAATTACATCATACAGGAAGACAAAGACATAAGTCTGGTACTTCCCATTAGGCCACAGGCCGTCACCCATAGCAATAGCAATATCCACGAGACCACGAAGTATAAAACATACATTATAATACACGACACTACCAGCCAACTGTCGTCTGTTTATTTATAGATACTTTTTCCCTGCTTTCTGGGGAAGTTTGATGAATGGGTACGACATTTACCATGTGAACATTGACGTTGTTATAAATACATTTTTATTACCGATTATCGATGAACAAACAATGATTATCCAGGATTTTCGTAGTACATATGGCTTCAATTACGTGAAATACCGATTGTACCTAATTAAAAATCTCGATGGACCCATGTTGACATTACAGACGGGTTAGGTATAGCTATCACGGTCGCTCGAATATAATATTAACATTAATTTTTTCGTTATCACGGATCGACCGACAACAACACAATAATAATGCAATTTGCCGTGCCATACAATGGGTTATTTTTAGAATGTCTTTACCGAATTTCTCGTTAACTTCGGTAATACCCGCCATTAACTATTAATATCCATCGTATTTATAATAATATAACATATTTCATTATTTTATATTTTTTGTAATTCGGATAGGCCATGTCTAATGTTGATAACTGTCGGGAATCGAATAACTCAACAGTGTAACAACATCCACGAGACCACGAAGTATAAAACATACATTATAATACACGACACTACCAGCCAACTGTCGTCTGTTTATTTATAGATACTTTTTCCCTGCTTTCTGGGGAAGTTTGATGAATGGGTACGACATTTACCATGTGAACATTGACGTTGTTATAAATACATTTTTATTACCGATTATCGATGAACAAACAATGATTATCCAGGATTTTCGTAGTACATATGGCTTCAATTACGTGAAATACCGATTGTACCTAATTAAAAATCTCGATGGACCCATGTTGACATTACAGACGGGTTAGGTATAGCTATCACGGTCGCTCGAATATAATATTAACATTAATTTTTTCGTTATCACGGATCGACCGACAACAACACAATAATAATGCAATTTGCCGTGCCATACAATGGGTTATTTTTAGAATGTCTTTACCGAATTTCTCGTTAACTTCGGTAATACCCGCCATTAACTATTAATATCCATCGTATTTATAATAATATAACATATTTCATTATTTTATATTTTTTGTAATTCGGATAGGCCATGTCTAATGTTGATAACTGTCGGGAATCGAATAACTCAACAGTGTAACAACATCCACGAGACCACGAAGTATAAAACATACATTATAATACACGACACTACCAGCCAACTGTCGTCTGTTTATTTATAGATACTTTTTCCCTGCTTTCTGGGGAAGTTTGATGAATGGGTACGACATTTACCATGTGAACATTGACGTTGTTATAAATACATTTTTATTACCGATTATCGATGAACAAACAATGATTATCCAGGATTTTCGTAGTACATATGGCTTCAATTACGTGAAATACCGATTGTACCTAATTAAAAATCTCGATGGACCCATGTTGACATTACAGACGGGTTAGGTATAGCTGTCACGGTCGCTCGAATATAATATTAACATTAATTTTTTCGTTATCACAGATCGACCGACAACAACACAATAATAATGCAATTTGCCGTGCCCATACAATGGGTTATTTTTAGAATGTCTTTACCGAATTTCTCGTTAACTTCGGTATTACCCGCCATTAACTATTAATATCCATCGTATTTATAATAATATTACATCTTTCTTTATTTTATATTTTTTGTAATTTTGATAGGGCATGTCTAATGTTGATAACTGTCGGGAATCGAATAATTCAACAGTGCAACAACATCCACGAGACCACGAAGTATAAAACATACATTATAATACACGACACTACCAGCCGACTGTCGTCTGTTTATTTATAGATACTTTTTCCCCGCTTTCTGGGGAAGTTTGATGAATGGGTACGACATTTACCATGTGAACATTGACGTTGTTATAAATACATTTTTATTACCGATTATCGATGAACAAACAATGATTATCCAGGATTTTCGTAGTACATATGGCTTCAATTACGTGAAATACCGATTGTACCTAATTAAAAATCTCGATGGACCCATGTTGACATTACAGACGGGTTAGGTATAGCTATCACGGTCGCTCGAATATAATATTAACATTAATTTTTTCGTTATCACGGATCGACCGACAACAACACAATAATAATGCAATTTGCCGTGCCCATACAATGGGTTATTTTTAGAATGTCTTTACCGAATTTCTCGTTAACTTCGGTAATACCCGCCATTAACTATTAATATCCATCGTATTTATAATAATATTACATCTTTCTTTATTTTATATTTTTTGTAATTTTGATATTGCATGTCTAATGTTGATAACTGTCGGGAATCGAATAATTCAACAGTGCAACAACATCCACGAGACCACGAAGTATAAAACATACATTATAATACACGACACTACCAGCCGACTGTCGTCTGTTTATTTATAGATACTTTTTCCCCGCTTTCTGGGGAAGTTTGATGAATGGGTACGACATTTACCATTCGAACATTGACGTTGTTATAAATACATTTTTATTACCGATTATCGATGAACAAACAATGATTATCCAGGATTTTCGTAGTACATATGGCTTCAATTACGTGAAATACCGATTGTACCTAATTAAAAATCTCGATGGACCCATGTTGACATTACAGACGGGTTAGGTATAGCTATCACGGTCGCTCGAATATAATATTAACCTTAATTTTTTCGTTATCACGGATCGACCGACAACACAATAATAATGCAATTTGCCGTGCCCATACAATGGGTTATTTTTAGAATGTCTTTACCGAATTTCTCGTTAACTTCGGTAATACCCGCCATTAACTATTAATATCCATCGTATTTATAATAATATAACATATTTCATTATTTTATATTTTTTGTAATTCGGATAGGCCATGTCTAATGTTGATAACTGTCGGGAATCGAATAACTCAACAGTGTAACAACATCCACGAGACCTCAACATCTCTGTTTGCGGATGACACTATGTTTCACACTAGCAACAAAAACGCTACCTACGCTATACTAAGACTACAACGGCAAATAAACATAACAACGAGATGGCTCACTCAGTGGAGATTACGACTAAATGTTTCCAAAACAGTTGCAATTCTCTTTGGAACGAAAGCAACAACTAAATTAAAGAAAATTACGATCCACAACACGGAAATCAACTGGTCAAGAGATGCAAAATATTTAGGAGTAACATTAAACAAGTCCCTAAGTCTCCACAATCATGTTGAGGACATAATTAACAAGGCCAAACGATCAAGAGCGGCACTCTATCCGCTGCTAAATAGCAAAAGCCATATCCCAATTAATGCAAGACTATCTCTATTTAAAATATATATAAGGCCCATCCTCCTCTACGCCGCACCTGCATGGGGGCCTAAAATTAGTAGGTCAAACTGGAAGAAGATCGAAGCCGTGCAAAACGTAGGACTAAGATCAATAACAGCCATTCCACCATACCAGTCAAACAAATCCATACTCGCAATAACTAAAATCCCGTCAATAGAGGAAGATGCCAGGAAAGCCACTACGATAATGTTTAATAAAAACACAAGATCCCTCTACCCACACATTCAAAAATTAGGAGTACCAGACCCAGAAGACCCTATATGTAAATCAAGACCTTTCTACTTCAAAAAATAACACCTAAATAAACAAGCCAAAACTCCGAGAATTACATCATACAGGAAGACAAAGACATAAGTCTGGTACTTCCCATTAGGCCACAGGCCGTCACCCATAGCAATAGCAATATCCACGAGACCACGAAGTATAAAACATACATTATAATACACGACACTACCAGCCAACTGTCGTCTGTTTATTTATAGATACTTTTTCCCTGCTTTCTGGGGAAGTTTGATGAATGGGTACGACATTTACCATGTGAACATTGACGTTGTTATAAATACATTTTTATTACCGATTATCGATGAACAAACAATGATTATCCAGGATTTTCGTAGTACATATGGCTTCAATTACGTGAAATACCGATTGTACCTAATTAAAAATCTCGATGGACCCATGTTGACATTACAGACGGGTTAGGTATAGCTATCACGGTCGCTCGAATATAATATTAACATTAATTTTTTCGTTATCACGGATCGACCGACAACAACACAATAATAATGCAATTTGCCGTGCCATACAATGGGTTATTTTTAGAATGTCTTTACCGAATTTCTCGTTAACTTCGGTAATACCCGCCATTAACTATTAATATCCATCGTATTTATAATAATATAACATATTTCATTATTTTATATTTTTTGTAATTCGGATAGGCCATGTCTAATGTTGATAACTGTCGGGAATCGAATAACTCAACAGTGTAACAACATCCACGAGACCACGAAGTATAAAACATACATTATAATACACGACACTACCAGCCAACTGTCGTCTGTTTATTTATAGATACTTTTTCCCTGCTTTCTGGGGAAGTTTGATGAATGGGTACGACATTTACCATGTGAACATTGACGTTGTTATAAATACATTTTTATTACCGATTATCGATGAACAAACAATGATTATCCAGGATTTTCGTAGTACATATGGCTTCAATTACGTGAAATACCGATTGTACCTAATTAAAAATCTCGATGGACCCATGTTGACATTACAGACGGGTTAGGTATAGCTATCACGGTCGCTCGAATATAATATTAACATTAATTTTTTCGTTATCACGGATCGACCGACAACAACACAATAATAATGCAATTTGCCGTGCCATACAATGGGTTATTTTTAGAATGTCTTTACCGAATTTCTCGTTAACTTCGGTAATACCCGCCATTAACTATTAATATCCATCGTATTTATAATAATATAACATATTTCATTATTTTATATT